TTATTTTATCAAAGGCAATGGTGGGAATTGAGTCTAAAATGTCACTACTTCTCAGATGGTTGGTTGTGGTTTCTTTCCTTTGTTGACAATTGTTTTTGGAGTTATATAACAACAGATATCAATATCACAATTTTAACCAATGTGAAAATTCATTGAGGAAAATGACAACTTGACTCCTCTATGGGTGCTTACACTCCCTCCTACCGAGCTAGGGATTGATTCTTCTTAAGTTATATCTGAAAGCAGTTTTTTTTATCAATGTACTCAATGTACAAGGAACTCTTGAATAGTGTGAATGCTGTTGGTTCTGTACTTTTTGATGATGCCAAAGGATGTTAAATCACAACAGATTATGTCTTTTTTCAAGGAAAACATTGTCGATCTCATACATCAAGTTCATTATGTAGGAGTAGGTTCTACCTCCGATGGACAAGAACAACTAAAATAACTACTAATTGTTATTTTGAAGCTTGCTGTTCATAAATATTATTTATCTTTTCATTAGACAAAATAAAATTGTAAAAAGATTTTTCAGTATTTTTTGATTGCCTATATACCACTGTGTAGACAGTTAGATACTCTGTAGTGAGGATAGTTACATTCTGTACCAAATACATTTGCTCATTTAGCATTAACCCATGGTATGATATCACCTTTTTTATGGCTGCATAAAGTTCAATATAGTGTTTATTGCATGTGTGCAGCATCACATATTGCATAAAGTTCAATATAGTGTTAGTTGTATTCTTAATTGGAGGTAGTTTCCTTCCAACCTTTGGCATTATTTTCTGAAAATTTTGAATGAGTGACTTGTTAGTTTAAAAGAACTCAGAAGGCTACTAGTGTAGAAATGCATGTGATGGAGGTGTGCTAGGACTATGGTGGAAAACCTTAAAGTTATTCTCACACGGTTTCTTCTAGTTGACTTTAGAATGAATCAGCTTGCCATAATAAGATACCAAAAAAGTAGAAGCAAAACCTGAATTAGATTATTGTGACATTCAATTAGTTCATAGAAAGGATAAGAGAGATGGAAGAAGTACATGTGATTTAAGATTTGGTGGTGGGTGGAGTGAGCGCTAGTGTAATAGTAACTTGAATGTATTCACAATACAGTCTCTCAGATCCTTGTAGCAGCACAGTGACACTAGTGAAAAGAAGAATAAGGTCCAATCAGAATTAGAAATGAAACAAACTCAGAATTTCTGTGATTGTAAATGAAGTTTATATCTGAACAAGAAGAATAAGTTCATTTCAGCATCTTTCTTACATTGTGAACTGGGACAGATAGAATACAGCTCATGTGGTCTATTTGGATTATAAGTTAAAATAAAAATAACTTACATAAAAGTTAATTTGTGCAGAATTTTCTGGTTAAATATCCTAGAATACCTTAGTACTAAGAACTTCATAGTGACTTTGAACAAAAACTTGTAAAGGAAAAAGGTTAAAAGAACAATTCAAACAGTTCTCTCAATTAAGAAGAACAGTAGAGTACAAAATTCTAGGGCACCTACAATCCTGAAATGAGTCTGTGGGAAAAATGATAATCATAATGATAATTTCGCATAACTAGGACGTCAGATTTCTAATTTCGTATTTTTGCTCATTTTGTATTTGGTTCACAGAACAACAGAGAAATTAACTGGTCTTCTGTAGCCAGTAGAACTTTTTTAAAAAAGCAGAGTATTTTTTAATAAAGTTACATAATTTGTTTTTATTTTATATTCTTAAACTATAAAATTGCTAAATATAAAACTTAAGAAATATTAAAATTATTTAAAACTACAAATATCACAACTGTCTTCTTATTAAACTTATAATAAATAACCAACAGTTTAGTCCTTATGTTTTCAGATAAAACTTATAAAACTCAGATTGAACATGCAACTTCAGTATATCTGTATGTATTCATCCCTATGTATAAGTGTGTGAAGTAAAATCTTAGAAAAGAAGAAGAAAATGATAGAATGTTAACAGAATATTAGGTCTTCTTCTATGGTGATTTGAGTGAATTGAGAAAGAAAGAGAAACACAGAGACCCCTGCATGCTATGAAACAAAGATTGAACAGAGCATCCTAGGTTGTATTCTATATTTACTTTACCAAGTCTTGCCAATTTTAACAGCTAAACATAAGATACCTTATTGTGCAAATCAGTTCCTCCTTTATCTCTGTGGCAGGAATGACAGGCAACAAAACAAGGTTATTTATTAACATTATTATTTTTTTAGTAAAATATGAACTGTTATTATTTTATTAATATTAGATGTATGTAATGTTGTTATCACTTTTTAGTAATGTTTTTAGCTATCAATAGAGACATTTGAAGGAATATTATTAAATTTATTTAATTACATTTTTTAATAATAATGATATAACATTCTAAATGTATTACTAATATAACAAACCTATGTTTCATTATACCTTTTATTATCTGATTTAATTTTATTATTTTATTTCTCAATTAATTACTTCATTAATGTCTTTACGTGACTTCTACAGTGTTTAGTAACTTTGACTTTGGTTCTGCATGGCTGACTCACACGTGTCATTACGTTGATCTAGATTAACACGTGTCACATGATTTGAACCCTCCTTACGTCTTTAATTGTGATTAGAAGTAACTATGGTTGACGAACAGTGAGGGTTCATGAAACTTGTCCAAATGCAGTAATATTCTTTAATCCTAAGGACATTTATGTCAAAAAATAATAAGACGGTACGCAAAACAATACAATGCTGGCATCATTAAAACTGAATAAACTAAGAAATAAGATGAAATTAAAAATTGTTTCATAATGTTTAGGAAATGATGATATAATGTTGTCATACTTTTTGAATTTCATATTAATGTGTTTATCAATCTTCATTTTTATAATTTAATGTATAATGAGTTAATTAGTGTGTTATAAATTTAGACACCAATATACTTTCATCATATTTGAATCAGTTGTATTTTAGCATTTAAAAAAAAATTATTAGTGCTTTCTTTTTCAAAATATTAAGTTTTATTCTATATTTAGTCTCCAATTAATAATTTTATATTGGAATAGTTGATAATATGTTTGTAAAAAATAAAAAAGACTGTGACACATTTCAATAAAACCGATCCGTAATAAATTTCACTATCTTGGAGTAATTATTTATTTTCTTAATGTACGTATCAAAAATTAAATGGCAATAAATATGGAATGGGGAAAGTATATTGGTTCAGTGGTATTTTTTTTTCTTTTTATTTTTCTTTAAAATTTTTACTTTGAATGAATTTTTTCTTAGGTTCCTTTTAGTGTGAAATTTTGAGTTTCGTTTATTAACTTTTAGGCATTGTTCACTTGAGTGGATTTGAGGAAGAGTAATTGAGGGGATTTAAGAGGTTTTAAAAATAATTTTTTTTGTTGATTATTTGAGTGAATTTGGAGGTAAATGAGATTGGATTTCGAAGTAAATTTTTTTAATCTGTCATGTCAATCAAATCCTACACTAATTCTCACAAACTTTACTTCCAAATTCATTCTCACTTACCTCCAAATTGACTCAAATAAACAACAAAAAAATTTATTTTCAAATCCTCTCAAATCCCCTCAATTACTCTCCCTCAAATCCACTCAAGTGAACAAGGCCTTAATGATAAATATTAACTTAGATGCTAACTCTGATACTTTGTTATATTCCTGCATCAACTTGTTTTGTGCTGCACTCTTGTGGTAGTTCTTAGTGTTAAATATTAAGTTTATATTAAGTGTAAAAATTAAATATAAACTAATAAATAAATAGATTAAAAATACATAATTAACATAGTAAGAGAACTAAATTAATAAAAAGCAAATGCAAATGGTCAAGTAGAGGAAATAATATGAAAAAAAAGTCATGAAATCATATATATATATATATATATATATATATACTTATAAATATAATGTAATAAGATTTTTGTTAAAGATATTATTAATCTATTATGTGGATAAGATTAAAGTCACATGTATATAATTTCTTACTAATGAATTTTTTTAAAACAATATTATAGTTATTGGTTCATACACAATGTTAATCTAAAACATTGTATAATAACAATAAATATCAACATGAAACATTACTTATTTGTAAAAAAGAATTAAAATTGTTAGATTAAAAAGATTACATTAATTTATTTTTAAAATTTGAAACCAAAATTTTTATAAGCTTAAAACAAAAATGAATTTCAATTTTAGATCCAATTGTATATAATTTCACTTAAAATACTTACATATTTAGACATCAAATATTATATTATGAAAATAATATGTTTAAACAACACTATCATACTAAGGCTAAATTTGATCTTATTCCAAAAGGCAAAATGGAGTTTAGTTTAATTATTATTAACATAAACGGCGAAAGAGAAGTGAATTACATTAAGTAGTAGAAGTTTCGGATTGGCTTCCCTAAAACAAGCATAATAATGAGTTAACTGTGGAAAATGTCCTTTGTTGGGAAAAGCTTGAGAGATTAGAAGAAGGGCTTACAGTCAACTCAACATTCATTACTTCAATTTCCTCCCTCTTTCCACTAACCCTTCTTCTCCACACTCTAATCATTCTTTTCAACCTATAATACTTTTACAACCAATAATAATAAAATAATAATAATAATAATAATAATAAAATAATAATAATAATAATAATAATAATAATAATAATAATAATAATAATAATAATAATAATGCCAAATGCTAACCACATTTTTTTTTATTGTGTGATTTTTTTATATTAATAAATTTAATATATTAACATCATTTCCTTGGACTAAATAATAATAATAATAATAATAATAATAAATAATAAATAGAAGTAATAAATAGTACAGGAGGAGAAGAGAGGGTATATTTATTACTCACATCTAACCCTGAAGTAGGGTCAATAACTTAACCATAGATTAGAACCAGGGTTAAAAAAACAAGTGGTTAAGAAGGGACAACCACATTATCAACAGTCCTCACTCAAAAACATCATCAACATCTTTTTCTTTCCTCTTCTCTTCTCTTCTCTTCTTCAATTTCTTCTTCATCTTTCTTCCAACTTCAACAAGAAAAACATTCATAACCTCTTTTTCTTTCCTCTAATTTACTTCTCTCAACACTGCATAAGAATCACCAAGCCCATTTTCAAGTTTCCCCAACACTTTTCATGAAGCCCTCACAAAAAGTTAACCTTTTCATTTAATTCTTCTCATTATTTTCTTATTAAGAGGATGGAGATAATAACACCAACGCCACCACCAACAGCCGTCACTACCACAAACGCCGCCCCCAAATCGCCGGAACTCGACATAGAGACTCCCACCCGGATCCATCAAGCCGCAGGAAACCCGAATCCCAGTCCAAAGCCGGTGTCTTTCTCCAACGGGGTCTTGAAGCGCCACCATGCAAACAACCGCACCGCCGCCCCGGTGGTTTACAAGGAATGCTTGAAGAACCACGTCGCCAGCTTAGGCGGCCACGCCCTCGACGGCTGCGGCGAGTTCATGCCGTCGCCCGCGGCAACCGCCGACGACCCCAGCTCCATCAAATGCGCCGCATGCGGCTGCCACCGTAACTTCCACCGCCGCGAGCCAGAGGAGCCGCCAATTTCTCCGGCGACGCATCATGTTCTGGAGTACCAGCCCCACCACCGTCACCACCCTCCTCCGCCACCGCCGCACCGGAGTCCGAATTCCTCCTCTCCGCCGCCGATCTCCTCCTACCCCTCCGCACCCCACATGCTCCTCGCCCTCTCCAGCGGCGGCGGCCTCTCCGTGGCCCCGGAGAACACCGCCGCGCCGGCTCTGGCGCACCACTCCCGGAAGCGCTTCCGCACGAAATTCACCCAGGAGCAGAAGGAGAAGATGCACGAGTTCGCCGACAAAGTGGGGTGGAAGATGCAGAAGCGCGACGAAAACATGGTCATGGAGTTTTGCAGCGAGGTTGGTGTCGACAGAGGAGTCCTCAAAGTGTGGATGCACAACAACAAGAACACTTTTGCCAAAAAGGACAACCTCAATGGTAGCCCTGCTAACGGGACTAACCATGTCGCCTCTCCAAACAAAGCTACCGTCAGAAGCAACGTTAACGGCCTCGAACAGGAACACGGCGGCGGAATCAACGGTAACAGCGACCACGACCACAACCACAACCTCGGTTCTTCTCATGATGTGAACGAGTACGATAATGACAGTGGAACAAATGGTGGTGGAACAAACGGGTCTTCTTCTTCTTAAAAAAAAATGGAAAAAAAAATTTCAGAATAATGATATGCTTAGATGATAGAGTAATGAAGAGGTGGCACCGGTTAATTACTCGATTAGTCGTTTTTCTCTTTCTCTTTTTTTTTTTAATTTTCATTTAATTGTTTAGTTTTGGTTAATTAATGAGATGATCACCTTCTTGACATTGGAGAGATTTGGTTTTGATGATACCCTTAGGGAATTTAATTTTGTTGTTTCATTCTGCTGCTTAGTTATTGTAGTTAAATGTTTAGTACTAAATAATAATGATCAGTGCTTCAGTTATTCCAACCTCGTTTGTTTGTTTGTTCTTCTCAATCTCTCACTTTTGGCCTTTGGGATTGGATTTGCTTTGCTCAATATATCTTGTGTTATTCTGTTTCGGTGTTCTTTTTGGTTGAGATGATGATGATGATGGCGATGAGGGTTAAGAATTTTACACTTTTTTCTCTTTCTCCGGTCAGAAATGGAATAAGTAATTATTGTTTTTTTCTTCACATCTCGTGTCCGAGAGATAGAGGCAGAAAGTGTTAAGGGCGGTTCTTAATAGGTAACAAACAACAATCTTGTTATTCTATTATTCTTCAAAGAACAAAGCTAATCCAAAATTATATATTTTTTTTGGGTAATCTAAGTATGGAAAATGTACTTGATGTGGGCAATGATTATTTGAAGAGAAACCTTGTTATTCTTTTAATTATTCTTCTTAATGAAGTGTTTGAGTCAACCTACAAATATGCCTTATGCTAAAAAGAGAGGCTAGTTAGTTTCCTTGTTTGAGTAATGGTGTGGGAGAATCCTAATATTACTTTATAAAGATAATGTTGTTTAATGGTTTGTAATGTATCTAAGTAGCAATTTGCTATGCAATAATCGGAGTGCATGTGATCTTGGAAATGTTTGTAGAGTCTTTCCTTTTAAGGCAAGTAGATGAAGATTACTTTATGATTAATTAATGGTAGTAATAATAATATAATAAGAAAGCATATGTTTAAATAATGGAGAGAAAGATAAAGATTAGTGAGAGAGGGACAGGTCAGAAGGTGTGGTGTTGTTGTGTTGTGTTGTGTGTACCAGCCTTCACATTATGGGTGTATTTTGTTTTTGGTAAGCTCTTTTATTTAATTTAGTATTTTATTTCACTTGTTGATTGGGTCCACCATGCATGAATTTTGGTTTTGGATTTTGGTGATTGATGAAGTCACTAATCTTGTTTTGGTGTTGGGGTCATGGTGCTCCTAACAACCCAGGCATGGGCTCGTACTAGGCCTTTAATTGCCCCTTAAAAACAGGGATATTTATTTATTATCATTATTATTATTATTATTATTATGATACAATTTCTTTTACTCCAATAAATTCTAAAAATATTAATCTTTTTTTTTATTTCTCATGTGAGATTTTTAATATCTATATTCACATTTTTAATTTTTTCAATTATTAATAATTTTTATTTTTGCGGAGTTGATGAAGAATGTTGTATCAATTCTCCCACTAAATCAAACAGTAATAATGCACTGTTTGAATTAGTCGTGTTTGCCACATTTTGATTCCAAATGCAGTGTACACAAATTCGAATCATATCTGCATTTTTCTGTTTGCTTTGTAATAAAGTTTTATTAGGAGTGTCCTTGCTTGCATGTATACTATTCACAACACTACATATAGGCACTTCAAATTATTTGACTCATCCCTTCTTCCTTCATAATTAAGGTGCATTTGCATGTGCTAACCTAAGTGAGTGCCTTTCTTTCTTCTAACTCTAGGGTTAATTTTCTTTTTTCTTACCAAATCAATATTTTCATAATTCAAACTCATATGTACAATATGTACTTGAAGACCCTCGGCCTCATTAATTATAACCTTTAATTGAATTATCTAAAATAATGATATGATACCGTTTATCGAATACTTAAAGTGTTAGATATTAGATAACTTATATAGCTCGTATAATTGACAGGACAATCATTTGGTACTCTATGAGAAGTGACTCATCTAGTTGGATATCGAAGATTATACTACTAAATGGTAAGTTTAACAATCACTAG